TGTTTACACCCCCACCAACTGTGAGGTAAGGGTTGGACTTTGGGGATCTTACAGTACCAGGTGTTCCCCAATCCCCCCATCTAAGTACTGACCTGGCTCTACGATGCTTAACTTCGGTGATCGAACGAGAACCGGTGTTTCAGATGGTGATGTCATATCTGTTGTTGATTTTTTTTACCAACAGGATGAATAGTCTTCTTTGAACAGCTAGATATCAATTAACCTGGAAATAAACAATACAGTTATTAATAAGAAGAGTTGTAATTAATGCATGCAAGATTTCACAACTCTAGCATCACTCCTTCATAATCAGCCTATGAACTTTTCAGCCCACACTCAAACCTGAAAAGAAACAATGCAGTTATTAATAAGAGTTTTGTTACTCTTTCTGTATATATCCATTTTTTTTCCTCTCTCTCTCTTTATTGGGCAGTATAATATAGATAATATATTTGAAGCACATATTATATGCACCTAATTCCAAGCAGGACATATTCAGGAAAATGTTTTTAATGTATTGTTGGAGGTTGCATTAAATGTTAATGAAAGTTTGACCATATTCTCTACTTGGATTCATTCAAAACAAGCTTATTTTTCATCCGTTTGTAACAAATTTATGAATTAATATTTTTTCTTCATTATCAGGTATCATTTTCTTACTTGTTTAATGTTTTTTTGCATGCATTCATAAACCATGCCATTTCCTAAAGTGGTAAATCCAAGCTTCTGATTCTGCAAAGCTCTGAATTGTTCATTCTTCTGCTAATTTCTTGACCTCATAAGTTACCATTTTGGCAGAAATTCTTCTGAATCCTTCTTATTTACAACCCACTTTTTTATTATCATCCTGTGAGTAATATTTATACTTTTTAGCTGCCATTAGTTGATCTTACTGTTGTCAGAAAACATGATTTTTTTTTTCAGTAGATTTGGGAGAAAAAGTCTTACTGCTGCTACATGGTTTCCATGCTAATTTTCATAGTCTATCAATTTGTACTTTATTATGATAATTTCTTTTAAAGTACCATTAGTAGTAATAGTAGTAGTAGTAGTTTACTTTTGTTTGAGTAAATAATATTATTATGGAGTCTGACAAGGTAAAAGTGATTGTCAATGGTAAAATTATATCCTATGTTAGTAAGCACTACAGATAAAATTAGCCCAGAAGAAGGATATTTTAAGCCTTTTTTTTATAAAAATACTGTCAAATATGGCGTGCACACACACACACACACACACACACATATATATATATATATATATATATATATAAAAAATCAGTAACACTCTCAAGAGGATGTATTACTAAATTATAAACAAAATAAAAAATAGTACTTGACACAAAGTAAAATTGTAGAGCAAACTAAAACTAAGACAATAAAAGAATGCAACCATGGTTTCAACTATAATAGGTACCATCAGGCAGTACCTCCAGTGTATTGGCTGTTGACAACCAACCTATATATAGACAGTCACTACTTAAGAGGAGGAAGAGTATGAAGGGAAAAAAATCATTATAATCTGCCTAGCTCATCCTGGCTCATAGTTCTCCATTTTGCATTATTTATTATTAGTAATTCACTGTTATCAGTATGAGTTGCGATGGCTAGTTTCTCTTCTTGACATAAATTGCAAGATCTTCCAGTTATTTTTTTTTGTCCATACTCATCTTAGAGTCCTCCATTTGATATTAGGACTTTTATTGTATTTTTTCTTTAAACTTTCAATAATTCCAATATTTGCTTGTGTTTTGCAGTTGAGCACTTTTCTTTATATAGCTTAAACAGACAATCTTTCTCGGTCATTACTTTTACATCACATTACATTTTTTAATTTAATATTTAAACTTCCTTCTGAGGAAATCAATATAAATTATTCACTGAAAAATATTCCTGTACCGTCAAAACATCACTATATGTTAGTTTTACTTAACAAAATTGAACTATTCTTGTGCAGAATGCTATGAAAGGTATTTTCCGTCCTCAATAAAATTCCAAGCAAAGATATTGCAATAGAAAAATATCTGTTTAAAACACAAAAATATCCTCTGGTGGTGAAGGAAATTTCTGGCTTTATAAAAGACCTTATAAGACTAATGAAAAGGATAAAATTTAGAAAAAAACAAACACAATTTTCAACAAGGATTAACAAAGGTCATACCATATTTGATGGCATATAAGATGCACCCCAATTTCAGCAGAGCAAATCAAGAAAAAATTAATAATTAGTAAAATTAGTAAACGTACATATGGTATATATAAGACACAGGGGAATTTGAAAGATATTTTTAGTAAAAAAAAAAAAAAGGGCATCAAATATGGTAAATGATTTGAAAGAAAATAAGGAAAATATTTTCATCAGGGACAAAACCAAAAAATTATATACAGTAAGCCTGAGATCTTATAATAAAAAGGTATCAAACGAAATTATGAAATTTTATAAAAAGGCACTGGCTTCTTATGAAATTTTATAAAAAGGCACTGGCTTCTTATATGGACTAGTTGAATAAAAGAGTGAAGGACATATCTGTAATGTATGTTGTTTGAGATGTTGGAGATAAATTAAAAATACTTGACAAAAAAAAACACATAAAAGATCATAAGGAAAATTTCATAAACAGTCCAATTAATTAATCCAACTAAAACATAGCTGGGCATCATTAGCCAGAAAATTTTAATGGATGCATATAAACTACTTAGAGTTACCACACAAGTCAACCAATGGAACAGCACTGCCAACTGCATTGCTAATATATATATATATATATATATATATATAAATTATTATTTATAAAAAAAAAAAAAATTTATAACATAAATATGTTATAAAATCACTACAAAAACAGCCACTCCGTTTCAACACCCTCGGTGTCTTATCAAGTGATGATGTTGAAGATAAAATAAATAAATATAAAAATACAAATAAAATAAATATACACCAATTATATGAATAGTAATTGTTGGTTATTGGAATTCATTCCGTATACACCAATTATATACTTGTATGTATGTATATATATATATATATATATATATACACACACATGCACACACACACACACACACAACTTGGGTTCTAATCCCACCAGGAGTTTGCTTCTTGATGTTATTGGTCTGAGGAGGCAATCCCAGCAGCATGTGGCACCCTTTGAAAGTGCCTGTAAAAAAATACCATGGGTTGACCCAAGCCTTGTCGATAATGCTCTTCAGAAACCACCAATAGTTGTATTAGCACAAAGTCACAGTTCATCATGACCAAGGGTTGAGCATGCTGGTGTTGTTCAAACTGCTGATCATGCCAGATTATACACTCTCTCCCAGAAACTAGAACTCAGTGTTTTTGCAGTATGAACCACAGCTCGGCCATTGAACAACCAATTGAGCCTGAGCTGGTGCCTACAACAAGGATTAGCTAGCTACCCTAACAAATAGGTGTGCTCAGAAAATGACTAGCCAACCATTATATAGACACACACAACAATTATTTACATTATTCGGATTATTGTCCTCATCTTTGTCGCCATATTTATCACAACGTTTCGGCCATTGTATGCTCGAGCCTTCTTCAGGTGGTTGGAATTTCGAACTGAACCCTTTATTTTGCTCACTGGAGTAGACTGCTATAGTTCCACATGTCATGTTTGATGGATGTCAGTTATCTCCTGCTAATTTCCTTCTGAAAGTTCTCCACTGCCTTAACCGGGTATTGAACTCACACTCTTTGTGTCCTGTCACTGGATCTAACCAACACCTTTGTCCACTGTGCCATGTGTCCTCAATAAAAAACATATTAAATTAATGCAGCAACATAAATCAGTATTTACAGTTGCATTCACTAATTGCCTTTTAGGTTTTGTCATAGTGAAATGCTTTTTAAACATTCATAATAATTTCTTTCAAAGGAAAATACTTTTCTTGAACAAATTTAACATTTAAATAGAGTACTAATTAAAATGTACTTTTCTGGCTCTTTTATTGGCAAAAATTCTAATAACACTATCAAAATCAATTTGTTTGGCAATACCAGATTCAATATGCAGTCATGCTGGATACCTTCTTATAGGCCTTGGATATGGCAAAGGCAAAGGATCATTGTGAAGAAGTTTATAGAGTGACAAGAGATCATCATAATTGAGGAATGGGATATTGAAAGATCTCTAATGAATTAATATCCTCATCAGTATATGTTGGGGCGCACCCACCTTCTGACTGATAATGGACTCATCCCTCTACGATATAAGTCAGTGCAAGTGTAGTGTGAAGGATCAGGTTACCATTACATACCGTTGGACTGTAGACTTTTGCTATTGTTACTTACTAACCGGCGTTCCTTATTACTAATCACTCTGTTGTTAATTACCTCTTATAAATATACCAGTATTCATCCTTACAACTGTGTTTGTCTTTATTCAAATACATACACGCGGGAACACTCCCAACAACTCAACAGTATAATAAGAGATATCATTAAAAAAATAAAAGCAATATGGCTCGACTGCAAAACTTCTTCAAACAAGGTGATCTCCTCAGTTAAACATGCAGCTACATACATTTATTGAAAAGTAAATTGAAATGTATTCCCTACTTGGGGAGAACTTCAGGAGGATCTAAAGGCAGCTGGGACAGAAGTAAACAGAGATACAATTGGTCAAACACTTCACTATGTAGTACTGCAGACTCCTAGGAAAAGAAAACCTTCTTTTGAAGGCCAAACATATATAAACTTCCTTGGGTGCCGATCATGTCTCTTTGATTTAAGATTGACTTGGTAGAAGAAATCCTGCAGTATGCTACCATTACTTTCTGCAATAGACTGGTTTCCAAACAAAGCTATAGGAACCAGTCTGTTCTGCTATTTAACCCATAGCTAGGAGAAGAGGTTGATTCATACATTTCCCAAGGCTATATGCATGTAAGTGAATGTAACAAACTCAACTGGAATTTGAACTCATCTCTCTGATTTCTCATTTAGAGCAATTATCAGTCACACCATTTTACATGACCTGATATTCCCAAACAACCACCCATCAAGATACTAACATGGCTCAATGTTGCTTAACTTTGGTGATCCAATGAGAACTGGTGTTTCAACATGAGATGTCTATAACTCATTTAATCTCTTTGTTCATAATCATCTCAAGAAGCCTTCTTCATCCTGAACAAAATATAATGGCCTGGCAAGACAAAAATTGAACATTTGGTGGATATTATTTAAGATATGTCTGGAAAAATAAGTTCACTTTGTGTAACCTTAAAAATACCATCCTAACATTTAAACATGGTTGGGGAACTATAATGATTTGGCATTGTTTTTCTTCTAGAGATACAACTGCACTACATAATGTTGATGGACAGTGCTATATATTAAGGAATACTGGAAAAGAAATTGGTTCAGTTTGTAAAATATCTTAAATTACTTAAAGGTTGAATGATTCAAAATAATAATGATCTGAAATATACTGCAGTGAAAATGAGAGATTGGTTAAATATGAAGAAAAGTTTTTAGAGTGCCTGAATCACTTGCCTGACCTAAATTCTATAGAAAATCTATAGAAAGAGTTTAAAATGAGATCTCATCAGAGGAATACCCTTAACTTGAGCAATTTTAAGATGATTTGTCAACAGGGGTACAATAAAATCAAGATTAATTTCTTCAAGAAACTTATTTCAAATTAATCTAAACATCTGGCAGTCATCATAACAAATAAGGTACACAGTGCTCAATACCAAATGGTGTTTATTGATATGTCCCCAAATCTTTTGCTTTGAAACATTTTTATGAAAAAAAGTCTTTATTTCTGCTTAAATATAGAATTCCATTTTTATGTTTGTCGCCACATTAGAAATTAATTTCTTCTCAGAAAAAAAAATTAAATTTTTATGTGTCCAGTACTTTTATGTGTGATTGTAGATTTGAGCTATTTACATACCAAGGATTGTCCTCACCTTTGTTGTTGTTATCACGTTTCCTACAGGGAATTCTGTACTGAACCTTTTATTTAATCTCCAGGGATAGACTATTTTCATTCCACTGTCCATTTCTAGGGATATCTTATTTAGCTTTTATTTTTAGTACTGCTCAGTTATTGCTCAACCACTTTACACACTGCCCATCCTAGGGATTGAACTCAAAGTTACTTTGTCACCAAATTCATGCTTTCATTTACTAAGACGTTATGGAACAATTTTGTGTGGAAAACTTGTAGCCCTTAAACCTTACCTGGCTGCTGATGAGTGCCGCTTCATGTAATGCTTGACTGAAGTAATTGTGAGTTCAATACCTGCACCAGGCAGTGATTACTTGAAAATGGGTGAGTTATAACTGAACAGAACTAAAAATAAGAACTAGTTAATATATCCTTAGACATGGGTAGTGGAGTGAAAACAATCTACCCCTATAGATTAAATAAAGGTTTCAATTTAGAATTCCCTGTAGGTAACCCAGATCAACATACACCTGATGAAGGATGGAAGGCACAATGGTCGAAATGTTGTGCTTACAACAACAAAGATAAGGACAATACTCGGCATGTAAATAGTGTAAATAATAACTCCACATTCCAGAAATTCAGACAGATGTAGATTTGAATTTGAAAGATTTTCTTGTCATTGCTAAATCATTCAAAAGTAAATATTTGAATTACTAATTTCAAGTTGTGTGATATGAATAACAGCTTTTATCATTTCTGAAGTGGCAAAGGGCACTTCTGCTAAGGATTGAAGAAATGCTGCTTCTCTTTGTGTTTCCAACTCAAGGAAATTACTGTGTCGCTTAACTATATGTAGAATCATTGTCTGGTCTTGGCAAGAACTTATTCCTGTAACCATCCGTTTTGTAAAGAGATGCACTTAGTGTTATACATACTGAAACTTAAGATCTCCTTGACTAGAAATGTTTGGTATAAATGACATTCTACAAGAACATTAGATGAAAAGATCCTTGTCACCAGTGTAAAAAAAAAGCCTGGTAATCTCCATTTTTTCTTCCATTGCCAGCTTGCATCAGGACGTTGATGATCAGGCTCCCCGCAATTTCTTGTTCTTTGTAGCTTTTAATAAAGTTTGTCATTTTGCTATCTCTCGTAATCCCTGTCCTGCCAACCATTTATATAAGCTTGTTAGATAGGTTATGCACTGGTTTCCTCTCTTCCTCTTGTCTTCACTATGTCCTGTGAGTGGCAAATTCTCCAAGCCCTTTTTCTTCATTATGTACTATAGAAATTTCAGCTATCTTTTTCTGAGCATAAGTGTCCTTTTTCTTTACATTTTCTCTAAAATTTTGTCATTGCTGACATGTTCAGCCCATAGTATCCTCAGAATCCTTATGCAGAACCACATTTCTGTTGCCTCAAATCTCTTCTTCACCTTTGAAAAGATTGTCCCACATTCACTCCTATATAGGATGATCGCTATTACATATTAATTCAGTACATTTTTCTTTGCTTGTAATGAAATTTTCCTGTATTATGCTTACCTTTTGAAAGGCATCTTTTGCTATTCCAATGCATCTTTGGATTCTAGTGTCATATTTTATGTTCTCTGTTAAAACACTTCATAGATATTTAAAGTTTTGCACTTCTTTGATTTTGGTATCTCTAATTCATACTTAACCTCTTGAGCTTATCTGGTAACAGGCATGCATGTGCATTGACTTCATTTAAACAGTATACATATTCACTTAATGTCATTTCACTGCTGACTGAGTAACCCCATGAAAGAGTATTTACACAGATGCAATAAGAATGAATGCCAAGTTATATCAAGGTCACACAGCCATTTGTCATGATATTCAAAATATCTTGCATGTTATTAGGATATGAAAAGATAATAATGTAGACTGAATAGGAAACTCAAAGAGAAGGAATAAAATTTATGACACCTCGAAAGAAATAAATATATCATCCAGAAAAACATCAGAATTTGCCTGAGGATTAAGTAATAAAATAGTTTATAATTTTTTTCTTTTTTTTTGCTGGCGCAGAAAAAAGTAAAAAAAATCAAATCAGAAAAAAACATTAAAATTTTCAATAGATGCAGGGCACATTTCTTATCATACATCAATAAACAATTAGAAAACAGTTCTTTCTTTTGGTACAAAAGTGACAGGCATACAATAATTCATTAGTGTTTTCTTTTTTATTGTGTTTTTTTTTATTCATTAATGTCTTTTTATAATACTGTACAGACATAAATAACCTTAAATTTGAAACCAATTAAATCCAACAGATGTCCTCAGTATATCCCCATCTATACTTACTTGCCATTCTTTATGAAGTTCAATTAAAAAATCTGACTCAATTTCCAAGCAGTATGGCCGCCAAGTTCACTTTCCTCAAATACTGAGTATATTCTTATGATTTTATTCAAAGTTTAAATTCATACAGTAAACAATCTCTCACAGTCAACTTTTGAGCTGTTGTGTTGATTTCACTCATTACTAGTGTAGGTATACTTTTTTTGAAGGTAATCTGATATTAAGTTACATGTGGAGAATTCATGTTGAAAAAGCTTGCAAACAGTTACTTTTTGCAAGGTTTGTCAATTTTCTTCAGTTAATAAAAAAATGTTTAAAACTGCACACTTTTTTGGTTAAAATTATTTTCTTCTATTTTTCAAGTGACTTAAATTAATATCCTTTCTATATAAAGGCATTGGGTTTAATCTGAAAAGGCAGAGGAATAAAAATGATAAATAACTTAAAATGAAAGTAAAATTTACTTTTCTTATCCAAATTATTGATATTTGTATTTTTCTGGGATTTTTTTTTGTTTTTTTTAGGAAAATCAATCTATTAAGGAATAGTTGAAAAAATTTTGTTGTGACACATTTCATCACTTAAAAGTTTATAAAATAAAAATGTTGTATATGTTTATATTGATGTGATTACACTTGCTCATTAAGGAAAAGGGATGTTGACATTTTAAAACTAATTTAAAAAAAAAATTCTTTAAATATTTGTTTGGTTATATAGTTTAACCAATTTCATTTACTTTCTTTTTGTTTGTTTTTATCACTTTTGTTGTTAAGAATCTCACATTTGGCTAACATGATCTGCAAAGAAAGGTGAAATGTTGCACGAACCTGGACCTAAATTTACTGAGGATGATCTAGCAATTAAAGCACTTTCTATACATTTTTGTCTTAGTAAATTCCTTTCTCTTTTGATTAAAGTAGCATTTTTAAAATCAAAATTATGGTCAGTCTCATTACAGTGAACAACTGATGCATTGAATGTGTTGTTTTATAAAATATCCCTTTTGTGTTGATATCAAGGTAAAAGTCTTTGTTTAATTTTAGATTCATGCAGTGATTTTTTTCTTTAAAAACACAAGTAGAAATCAAGTACTCTATTTGTGGGCATTTAAGATGCACTTTTTCCCAAAGGAATAACTCTGAAACTCAACCTGTGAAGTTGAGCACCTACTTCCAGACCATCCTGGGTAAAACTATAAACTACATCCAACAGCAAGGCCTCTGATCAGGAGGTTTTGATGAGCATTAATTGATGATGTTCCCAGCTCCACCATGATCCAGGGTGGTGGCACCTGTTAGGGTCCCAGCTATGGGCAAATAGTTGACGTTCAACCTGACTCAAAACATTATGAAAGTGAAAAAATAGGTTTTAATACTAGAAATACTTTGTAAAAAAATTATTACCAGCAATAAATTTTTGGAAAAAAAAAATAAATATATTGCCAGCAATAAATTTTTGAAAAAAATATTAGAAGTAATACATTTTTGAAAAAAATATTATCAGCAATAAAAATCTTGTCGGCATTAAATAACCAATGAGGTTTAATATGACACAAAACAAACCAAATTATACATTTTTGGAAAAAAAAAAAGAAAAAAGTTATCAGCTATAACCCATTGTGGTTGATATGCTTAAAACAAAACAAAACAAACCAAACCTGCCTCCAAAGGCTAATTTTATCCTCCATGCTTACTACAATAGGCTATAATTTTATCTCCAATAGTCACTCTAAAACAATATTATTTACTGGTTTAGCATTATCATTATTTTCTTCTCTTCTTCCATGCAGTTTTTTCATTTTCAAATGGAGATCTTTCATTATGGGTGTTTCCATCAAGTTGTATTAGCTTTCACAGAATATTTGCAGTTCCAATCAATGCAGACTTGTGGAGCAACGGGATATAAGGATTTATTCCCATTTTTTTCTGTTGGACTTTAATTTTGCTGGTATTGACCCCAATACCCCAATGATAACTGGGACAATAGTGGCCTGATTGACCCACATACTGGTGAGTTCAATCTGGAGGTCAGTTTCTTTCTTGAGATTGTCAATTTCTTTGACCTTGATATTATGGACACCAGGAACAGCCACATCAATGAGGAGGCATTTTCTTTTCTTTTAGTTTTTATTTTAATGAATGTTTGGTGGCCTCATCATCATTATCATCATTCCTATAAAAGAAATTATTGTAACAAAATCAATAATGTTGATCATGATGATTGCAAGCACTTCTGGTCCCACTAGGTAATGCTGGGATCAAGATGGATCCAACAGTCAGTTTGAATAAGTAAGTTGTTGTCATCTTTGTGTTGCTTCGACTTTTCAGCAGCCAGTTTCATATAACATCATCCCACCCTACGAACAATTTTTTTTTCTTTTTATTGTCCCTTCAGTACATAGGCAATCATGGCTCTCCACTTCTCCCTATCCCTTGTAGCTCTCAATAAGTTTTGTCCCTCTGCCACCTCCCCCAGACTATGTTCTGTCATCCACTTGCCAGGTATGTCATGTGTTGCTTTTCCTTGTCTCTCTTTCCCTTTATTCAACCTGTGGGTATCAGATTCTCCAGGCCCTACAAACTCCAAAATATTTGTTTGATTTCATAAAATGAGTGAGTTATCACCTTTTTGACTGTAACCAAAACAAACTTTGATTTGTAATTATTTATTTTGTAATTTGGAAAAGTTAGAAATAAATTAATAATGAAAATAAATTACCTTAAGAAGGGGATGAACAACATCAATAATGTTGATTATGATTGTAAGTTCTTCCAGTCTGACTTAGGAATGAAGACGGATCAAGTGGTCAATTTGAATAAATAAGTTGTTAAATTTACCCCATCTCATGTCATCATTTTGTTGCTTTGACTTTTCAATATCCAGTTTCATATAACTTATCTTTCTACCCTAAACTCAGTGGAATACAAACACTGACAATATTAGGATGTCATGAACAGAAAGGCATTTTTGTTGTAATGCATTGAAGCATTACAACAAAAATGTGACTATGCCATTTTTTTTTTTTAAATATAACTATTACATTCAGTTAGCACATTGTTTGTGCCACTGTGGTCACCACTCCCCCTCCATCTCATAATTGTGCTTCATGATGACATTCAAGGCAGATTAAATCAATGGCCCGCAGTTTCTTTTTGCACTAGGGATGTTGAGGTTATCCTGTCCCTCCTCTCAGTTAAAGAGGCAAACCTACAAGGCAGCAGGTAGAGTTTTTCTTCTTCTAGACTGGTTGCCAACCAATACTATAGGACCCGGTCTGTCCTGCTATTTACTCATATCTAGAGAGAAGAAATAAATTCATATCTTTCCCAACAGATATTAATACGTAAGTGAATGCAATGGACTTGATTGGAATTTGAACTTTACCCCCCCCCATTCTTTGATCCAAGCCACTACCCATTACTCCACCATGCTTCCATTTAGAAGGAATAAATATGGTATATTTTTCTGGTGTATTTCTTGTTAAATCTGGGATACATTCAATATAGCCATCATGTTGAAACACAGATTCTCATCTGATCACCAAAGTTAAGCAACATTGAAGCTGGTCAGTACCTAGATGAGTGATCATTTGGGAATACCAAGTGTTATAATGTGTGGATAGTATAATGGATAAAGGTTTAGAATGGGAAATCAGAGAGCTGAGTTCAAATTCCAGTTGGGTTTATTATATTCACTTAAGTGCAAATACCCTTGGGAAAATTATGAATCTACATTACTTCCTCCCAGGAATGGGTTAAATAGTAAGACGTGTATCAGAAAATCATTATTATCTCCCAAAGATTCTCATAATCTAAAATATGTTTCAGTTTTAAATTACCTCAAAAAGGTTGATAAACGATAAAAAAACAAATAAATCAATCCATATGGCCATGCATCTTTTATACCACAAAATGCAGTAAGTTAACTCTCCACATACACACACACACACACACACACTAATGCGTGGTTACTTCATTGCCATGCACACCTGTCTACTAGGGCAGCTAGAAGATGCCTTCTCAAGCATATTTATAGTTCTTTAACAGCCACAGAACCCAGCTGTAGTTTATGCTGCAACTATACTTAGCAGATCTTAGTCACAGCTTCTGGGAGAGTGCATAATCTGGTTTTATCAACTGTTTGAACAAATCCAGCATGCTTGACCCCCGCCCCCTCTCCCCACTTCGGTCACAATGACTTGTGACTTCATGCCATCAAAACTAACAACCTGAGAACTTTTTTGTCTACCCAATTTTTCTCACAGTATTTGTGTCAGCCCATGGTGTACTTTTTTGACACTTGGTAAAGGTGCCACATGCCAGGATCACTTCTCTAGGCTGATAATATCAAGAAGTCATCTTCCTGACAAATTGGTAATGATGAGATTTGAACACAGGTCTCATGACTAAAAAGCAAACATTCTACCCACTTGCCCATGCACCTCTCTCTCTCTCTCTCTCTCTCTCTCTATATATATATATATATATATATATATATATACACACACACTCTCTCTCTCTCTCTCTCTCTGTAAAAATGATAGTGTATACATTCCATGTATCAGTTGGTACACACATTAACTAATTGGTGACAAAGGAAGATTCTGCTTTTATATGTCTCTGTATCAAGGGATAACAATTAAACATCTTTTGATCAAGGGCCATAACTCATCATAACAACTCTCCCTCTTTTTAGTTTCTTTATTTCATTGCGTATTTTTATTTTCACTGTATCAAAGACATTTTTTATCTAACAATATTAAATGAAGGATCTCCTATTATTGTTAAGAAATCTGCAATTTGTTTGTCTGTTGATACCCAACCACATTGTCTGTTCAGTATAGCTCAAAATTCATCAATAAACATTTGTTGTTGAGAAATCAGTTTTCTTGTACTTCTTCACCCATCTTGCATGTGATGTTTACTTAAAGATAGTAATTTTGGTTGCTTTCATGTCTTTAGTCAGTAATTGTAATATTTTGCCACTTTTCTCTCAGTTTACATTCACAAGACCAGCATCTGATATTTTTAGCGATTCGGTTCAATATTATGACCCGGTTAAAATTTTCTCAAATCTCTTTGTGAATCATTCTTCAAGCAACATTTTTTCTTGTTCTTATCTTGCCAATGTTTACAATTTCTTTTTTAATTGTTCTCTGATCACTGTTTAACCTTTTATCAATTTCCAATGTTGTTTTCCCATCACTCAAATTTACAATATCCTTTTTTTCGCTTTTCAGGTTGTATATTTCTTGCAATCTTTTGTAAATCTAAAAAAAATAAATCAGTAACTATACTGTGATATTTGTTTACAGTGTGATGAAGAACCCACTATTTCTGTATAAAATCTGATCTCAGCAAATAAGATATTGTATTTGTAATAAACACTAATATTATTAGCTGAAATACACATGGCATATTTATCATATAAATATAAACATATCCTAAAATGTTTACTGACAGTGTTTGGTTAATACCAATTTTATTGTGAAAACAGACTTGCATAATAAAATTTGATATATGGGTATGGCTGAGTGTTTAGAACATTCATTTTCTGACCATGAGATCCAGGTTCAAATCTCACCATGGTTGATTTGTCAGGAAGGAGACTTCCTGATATTATCGGTCTGGAGGTGCCTGAAAACCATACCATGCGTTGACCCAAAACTTGTGAGTGAAATTGGGTAGACGAGACACTTGCTGTCAATAGCTGTGCTAGCACAAAGTCACAAGTCATTGTGACTGAGGGTCTGCATGTACTGGCCTTGTTCAGATTGTTGATAATACTAGATAACATACTCTCTGTCAGTAACTGTAACTAAGGTCTGCTCAGCATAGTTGCCGTATAGACCACACATGGGCTCTGTGTATGTTGGACAAACACAAATGTGCTTGAACAATTGTCTGCAATAGGGATTGGCTACCCACCCTAGTAGACAGGTATCCTCAAATACAAGTGGCCAGCTATTTTATATATATATATATATATATATCACTGCCATGAATAGACAAAAATTAGTTTTATTATAACCACTCTTGATAATAAAAAGTAAAAATGAAAAACTGGCTAGCTAACCAGTTTCATACCTGGGTCAACAGAGCTAAATAGAGTAAATTATATAATAAAAAAAAAAGAACAATGGACAAAGTTTATGGGTGCAAAAAAAAAAAAAATTGTTTTAAATAGTAATTAGTTGGAGGCCTAAAATAAAGTCCTTCTGTTTACAAAGAGAACGCTTTAAAGATAGAATATAGATGGCCTCCAACACTGTTAGGTGGTAATTTGCGTGGGACTTGCTAAGGATGGTAAAAGCGTCCTCACTAAAACTAACAGCACAATTATGGCTATTTATAAGGTGTTCTGCGATGAAAGACCCATACGTATTGGTCAGAATCAATAAACTTTGTCCAGTGTTCTTTTTTATTTTTTTTATTATACAATTTGGTATAATCCAAGCGAGTACTATTAACACAATATAGAATTTTAAATGTTAAAACTGACTCACTAAGAGTGTTCAATGTTTATTTTCATTAAACAGAGCAAAATTTTTCATAAAATTGGGTTTAAGGTACCATTAGTTAATTAATTAATGATATTTTAATTCCAATTGTACAAATATATATATATATATATATATATACATACAAACACACACACACACACACACACACACACACACACACACACACACACACACACACACACACACAGAGTGTAATGCATAAATTGTCATCTACATTATGCTAAAATGAAAATAACACTGACATCTCATTTTAATAGATATTAAATTACACAAAAATATCCTGAAATATGAAAGAGTGAATCTTTTCAATAAAATTGTTATTGGCTTCAACCATGGCCTCCATTCGACTTTGGAATCCCCTGCAACTCTTCTGGACAGTCTCCTTGTCTAAGTTGGTGAATGCTGCCATAATCCTTTCCTTCGGGTTCATCTTTGGTGTTACAAGGCATTTTGTTAGTTTCTCGCTCAAATGTACCCCACACATAATAATCAAGGGTGTTGCAGTCTGGGAAGTTAGGTAGCCAGGAGTGATGTGGTTGCAGAAATTGTCTCACAGTCATGACTGGGTTCTCCTGCTTGTGTGGCATGGTGGTGCAGAGTCCTGTTGCCAGACATAGGGTCTTCCAGCAGCCACTCTCTTGAACCAGGGCAGCACTACCTCCTCAAGTCACTTGATGTAGGCTTCCGTATTGAGTCTGAGGCCCTGTGGGAAGATGAATGAAGGCATAACGTCACGATCACTATTGATTACTTCAAACACGATGATATAGCATCCAACTCTTTCCGAATCCTCTGTGCAGTCCTCAAATTGATACCCAAACACTCTGAATTCTTTGTATTTGAGTTTCCAGTGTGAATGCCAAACAGTACATGGTGTATGATGGTGCTCTTTTTTTTCACAGATGGTGGTGGTGCCGCCCTACTGACGTTAATATACTGTGCAGTCAGCAAAATCAAAAAATACAGTGCACATGTGTAAAATTAAAAAATATAAAATGGTGACAATTTACCCATTGCACCCCCTGTGTGTGTGTGTGTGTATAATAGAGAATGAATGTGGACTGAATGCTACTCCTTCAGAAACAAGTGAATACATGTTAAGTTATATACAGCAAAGACATTTTGAATTTTGGGAGCAGAAATTCAAAATAGAAGAATTCATTTCAGACAAGGATTAAACATTTTTTTTCAAAACTCTGAGAGGATGTGTAGATAAGCTTTTGACTCAACCAAGAAGTCCTTCCAAAAAAAAAAGAAAAATGAATGCTTGGTCAGATTTCTGGAAGTGGGTTGGACCAAGAACTTTTTAACACTCTCTTGTATGTATGAAAAATTTTCTTCAAGTGTTTTTGCAACATATAACCCTGCCTGTAACACAATGCAATGAATTTCACTTTGATCAAGGCATTGTCTGCAGACTACAAGTGGATATACTGTCAGAATATTTCCATCAATATGAGAGAACAAAAAGTTTTCAGATCACTTTGATTAGCATCAAAGAATTACACAAAATGACATCCTGGCCAGTAGAATTTGCCTACTCACTTTCTATGCCATTTTTCAGCTTTGGTGATTCTGAATTGTGTGACAAACCTCACAGTCGATACTTACATCTGCCATTTGATGTCATGTTTGCTGGCAATTTTCTTGTGTAGTGTAATTCTGGTAAGAATAGCAAAGGGCTTATTGCAAGAGTATCAAACTATTTTACTGTGGTTGGATAAATATAATACAAGTATGCAGTATACTGACAAGATAATAATGAACAATCTGTGATTACATATTGAGTGAGAAATAATTATCATAATATGATCACTATGTCATCTTCTATGTGCTACGTCTCTTCAGGATAAAGTCGATCATGACTCTCTACAACTTCCTATCGCTTGTGACACTTAGTAGTTTTCTAAGTGACTCACTGCCTTTCCCTATCTTTCTTGTCAGTATACCTCATGAAGAATTTCATCTGACTTTTCCTGATTCCGAGTATAACTATTCTTTCTGTTGCCATTCTCTTTAAGACTTTCTTGTTGCTTACTCACTCAATACACAGAATTTTCACTATTTTTCATGATTATATAATT